ATTATGTCTCGACTTATTAGATCTCGCTGTGTAAACTGCTCTCTCTGCTCACGTTTGTATTTATTGTAATTAGTGCAATATACCTGTCGAGTTTTTAAAGTCGATTTTCTTCAAAGATAAAGCCTCGCATGAAAGAATTTTTTTCCACGTTTCGGACTTATTTTTTCATACAGAATAATCCCTTTCCCGGTTGTACCATCAGTTACGAGACACCCTGTATGTGTGTATGTATATATATATATATATATATATATATATATATATATATATACTCATATATATCTCCTTTTCCTTCTGTCTCTTTTTCCTCTCATCTTCATCTCTTCGCGACGTGTAGCCCTCGTGGCGGTCGCCGAATTATGCGGACGTTCGCGTCCTGACGAAAACTCATTCTGACAATTTCGTACGCGCAACCGCACCCTCATTTGAAATTCCATCGGGCCGCGTCGCGCTGTGGTCCGAGATGGACGAGAAGGAGGAGGCCGATCGTCGCGCATAGGTGGAGGAGACGCAGCTGCGCCGCGTAACGATCTCGTAAAATTCCGAGACGGTCATTCGGCCGGCTCGTGCTTGGAATACTTGGCCGGCCGGGATCGAAATTAAGGAAGTTATGCACAAAGAGGATCTAGAGCAGCTTTATCGGGAGCGATAAATCGGGAGTCGGAAAGGCAGTTCGCCACCGGCCGGGCTGGATTCGTGCTGGAGGACCGCGCGATATCCGCCGATGTCGTCTTCCCCGGGGAGGCGGTCTAAACGGCCGTTAATTAATACCATCGGCGAAGAAACATGGAAAAAGAGATCGCCGCAAAAAGGACGACGGACACGGAGAGGCTGTGATTAAAACGGCGATCATAATAATTTCGCCGTATTAATCTTGTCCGCGGCTCTCGAACGCGCGACCCTAAGCGCGACGCGTATACGATATAATAATGATAATGCAACATTCTCTCGCGGGATTTTCGTCGGGAAATAAAGCGAAAGTAGCATGCCGGCCGACACGCGATACGTGCCGCGCGTTTCGCATGCGTCGATACACGGCGCGGCGCGCATTATTCAGGAAGAACTTTTATTAGACGGCCAAGGCCGAAAGCTCCTCAACCGCGTGGTATCGGGGTAGCCGACGAGAGGAAGGCGTGTACCGCGAAGAGCGCGCGCACGAAAGGGCTGTCCTCTTATAACCATAAATATCATGCATAAATGCATATAGCGCGCGATGCCCCATAAATTCGACGCCGCGCGGCGCACCGAAAAACGCGCCTGCGACCGCGTCGAGCGAGCCTGTGTCGACGAGACAGAGAGAGAGAGAGAGAGAGAGAGAGAGAGAGAGAGAGAGAGAGAGAAAAGGAGGGAGAGAGAGAGAGCCACTATAATTAAACGAACGCTGTTCTAATTTGCATTATTAGCCGTACGCTCGACCTTGGCTAATTTTTCGCAGCAGGAGCCGATCGCTTGCTTGCTCGTTCATTTGTTCGCTACCCGCATACCGCACATCGAGTCGATATCGTCTAGCTAAAAACTCGTAGTCTGAAGAAGTCGCTTCGTTGAACATCTACTCAATGACAATTGCCTCGATTTCATACAGTTTACCCGACAATTATTCAGACATCCATTGTGCACAGGTAGAACTCGTCGAACTGATGCTAAAACACAAAATTCCTTTACCATTTCGTGAGCAACCACGTAAAAGTTGAGTTATTAATTAAAGAAGATATTAGCGAATGATCATGCGCTATACAGTGTGACAATATCTGCCGTCTTGTGTCAGGTCAAACTGAACTAAAAGGTCCTCTACTGTTGCGCAAATGACCACGTAGGTATTTAGTAGTTAATTAAAGAAGATCGGTGCATTATCGCGCGGATATCTTCTATAAGTGATAACTCAATATTTTACGTGGTTGTTTGCGAAATAGTAGAGGAATTTTGCGTTCAGTTTGACGAGTTCCACCCGCACACAACGGGTGTGTGAATAAGTGTCAGACACTCTGTATATAAAATGCACATAAAGTGTATTTTATTGGGCGATTTTATGCATAAAATATATTTTACTAGACGACTCATATTTTATCTTGGTCTTCTTCCATTTCAGACTCGATTCGCCGACGTCCCGTCGAGTTTCTCAAGCGCGGGCGGCATCAGTCGGCAAGAGGTACACCAAGGTCGGCTAGGAGCAGACCGATCAGGAGAACTCTTCGACATCCGTGAACGAGCTAAGATCAGTGAGGTTTACTTTCGTCGAGCGCACGAGAGCCGTGGGTGAAGCGGTGACGTCCTTCGCGGTTCCCGTTCCCGTGCAATCGATATCGATTTCTTTGTACATGTGTACAGTACTCTCTTAAAGTGAATCAATGAAACATCATAGAAAGCAGTGAATATACACTGATTTGCAGTTATAAGTATAGCACTGAAACTATAGTTGCTATAATTATAACTGTAGCGTTTAATTATAACTCAGCGCTATAATTATAACTGATATCACATCAGTGGTTATTCATTGATTCACTTTAAGAGAGTACCAACGCTATCGCGACGGTGAATTCTACCAAAAGTATTAGGGACTAAAGGGGAATATCATCGAGAGTCCTCATCGAGAGTCGACACGCGGGGGCCATCGGGAAAAGAGGATAGCGCGATGGACGTCTCGCGCGAGAATTTAAAATCTCGGCTCGGCTCTCTCGGGGCCGCTCTCGCTCTCCGCGTGTCTACGCGCGCTCACGACGGACTAACGATATTTATTATACGTCGGCAATGAATTATGGGCCGTTAAGTTCGCCGTCGTGACGGGCCCTTCGGCCCCGTGCGCGCCTCGCCAGCTGAGGGACGTAAGCGCTGCACTTGGCCACTGCGCTCAGGAGGAAAAAGCGCAGCGCGGCCACGACAGCGCACGCTGGCTGCTACGCTCGCCCTGCGCCCTCTCTCTTTCTCTCTTTCTGTGTCTGTCTATTCCTTGCAGACTTGTGCGCGCCAAATGAAATATTTATTCCATTAGAATAACATATGCGCTGAACTATGCCGCGTTTTTTGCGGCTATCACGAGCTCGAATCATCGCGACGCATTGAGAGCGAGAGCGAGAGTGAGAAACGATCTGTCTGATCATCGCGCGGATATCGCAACGAATCGCTCGTTTTCAATATTTCTACTACACTGACTCATAGGCTGGAAACGGTAATGGGCAATCTTACTGCAATTATAGTGATCTTCGATGTCAATCATATTTTTTATCTTATCAACAAAACAGTAGTAACAATATGCATACAAGGTTACCATTGTCACTACAACACTGTGACAGCACTTACGGCAAAAGTGGTTTTCCTAACTGTAATTATTTTACTATATGCGATTATATAGCCGCAAATGCCAAACATTGTTTTCTCAGTGTAATTATCAGTTTCTGCAAACACCGTCGCGATTACCACGACGACGCTTGATAAGGGATTTATGGATCATCACGACTGTCCAAGGTGCGCTCACGAGCAAGCGACCACCTCGACGTCTTCCTGCTCGACGTAAAAGTGGCTATTGCGCGCACGAGAGATCGCACGTTGGACGGCTTTGATCTACGATACGGTTCCACGCGAGATTTCGAAGAATGCGAGGCCCGGAGAGCGGAAAAAGTCCATTGGCAATTACACGGTCCGAATCCTAGGTCACGATCCTCGCGTTCGACATGGTCTTCAGGGCCGCGGGAGGGCGATATCTCTCACGGCCCGCTCGCGTTCTTCGTGGAGTCGCATCGAGCTCTCAGGGAGTGCGGCCGGTGGAGTCGCTTGTCTACGTTCGGCTTCCGTGATGGGGAAAATCCCTCGTCGTCGCGCGATTCCTCGGCGCCTCCGCTCTCGTGGGAAAACGGCGAGGACGCCGACGGAGCCGTTTAACAGTCCCCCGTAACGGTATAGTCGCGGGGCGCTCCGCGGCGTCGCGTCTCGTTCGAGGAGGAACTGGGAAAAATCGGTGCCCCGCTGCGCTCGTGTCGGCATAACGAGGAGCGCGCAGAGACAGCACGAGGATATCGGTGCGCGAGAAGTGCAGGGGAAGAAGCGCGTCGGTCCCGTCGATTTTTACGGGAAATAAATCGACTAACGTTCGCGCGGTTGCGCCTCCCCTTATAGAAATATCATACTAAGAATCATTGATAATTACTTATTCACTTACTTTAATTACTTATTCACTTAATTTAATTACTTATTATAATTACTTATTTTTAGTATTAAAAATACTGGATAATAAGTAATTATCAATGATTCTTAGTATGATATTTCTATAAGGGTCTCTCACGAGTCGTCCTCGAAATTCGTCAAAACGATAATCCGCGGCTAAGATGTTAACACGCTCGCCACTAACGTCACACGTGTGCGACGTGTCGATTTCTCACACCAAAGATCAGTATCATACATGTGTGACATATTGTGTGACATACTGAATCTGTCTGTTTAATGGTCTGTTCTTTTCAGCTGCACTGCTGAACTGGTGCAATAAGTTAGAGTGAGAAAACATATACTTATCTCACTTTAACTTATTGCAGCAGTTCAGCAGTGCAGCTGAAAAGAACAGACCATAAATCTAGAAAAGTGGCATGAATAATTTCTACTCGTGCTGAAAGTCCTAAACTCTACTTCTGTTATTTCATCACTGAAATGGATACCACTGCTTTCCTATGAGATTATACATGATATTATACATGAATCTTTTCTAGATTTATGGTCTGTTCTTTTCAGCTGCACTGCTGAATTGCTGCAATAAGTTAAAGTGAGATAAATATATATTTTCTCACTCTAACTTATTGCACCAGTTCAACAGTGCAGCTGAAAAGAACAGACCATTAAACAGGCAGATTCAGTATGTCACACAATATGTCACACATGTATGATACTGATCTTTGGTGTGAGAAATCGACACGTCGCACACGTGTGACAGTTACTCGTCCTTACTTTAATCGTGCCATAGATTATCGCTATCTTTCTAAGATGAAGGCGTTTCAACATCTTTTCCCAACATATGGCTAAGAAGCTAATTGGTAATGCATCATGTGCCATTCTCTGTGATGAAAAAGAAGACTTTCAATACAACTAAAAATCACTCAGGTTACCTTTCCAGGGTTAATACACTTTATGTCTGCATAAGTGTAAACATGCGTTATATTGAACATAGCGTGGGCCATGATGAGCGCGGTAGCGAGCGTGTTAAACCGCCCGTTTACTGTTACGGTCGTACGCCTTATGGGAAATACAGCGGTAGTTCGCGAACGGCGGACGTTTCCCGGATGCTCGTCGGCGCGACGCGTAATTTACGAGAGATTCCCGAAATTAATGACCCGCCTGAGCCTGCTCGACACGCAGCTCGACCCGGCATTTTTGCACGACGCGCCTCGCGAGTCTCGCGTGCGGCGAGATTAATCGTCGGACGTTAATTGAAACGAATTAGTCGCGATTAGGAAAATTGTTCGGCATTTTTTTACTCGTCAATGACCACGCACGGCATCCTCACCGCCGCCGATGGAGGAGGAGGATCCAGCTGCGCCTGAAGATTTATAATCGGCGCTCGATGCCGGAACCATCTCCTCGCGCCGGCGGTAAGGCGAGATTCTCTCTCGCATTTTGTCGCTCAAAATTCGCGTAATCGGCCAGGTATCGGCTACCGGTCGGTCGGCTGGTAGCAGCCGACTACCGACCGGTAGCTCACACCTACGATCTCGCTCGGTGGTGCTGTATGCAAAGTCGAGCCCCTGTGCGATCCGTACAGCGATCCACGCCTGCCCGACGACATTCCGGGTCGGTCTATTAGCCGCGTGACGCAATACGATTAATTCACTGCCGGCGATAAACAGAAAACAAGTTTCCTTCGAATACCTGGTCGGTGAGATCTCGCACGGAGGTTTCAGTCCACATCATGGAGAGACTCAGCGAAGGCGACAGAGCTGTCTTGACCAGCATTTTCGATCCTCTGCAGCCGCTCGGTCTATCCGACTTTCCGCAAGAACATGGTACGTGATTCCGAGATAGAGAATTGCTCATGATGTAATGTCTTAGACAGCACAAATGTTCGAAAGATGTCCTACTTGTTTTAGACGTTTTGCAGATTTCCTAGAATATTTTAGATCTGTACTCATAGTTGTTAATTGAAACCCATCTTAAGTAAAATACTTAGACTCGTATTAATAGCGTTACTTGTCGAAACTTGTCTCACGTGAGATATTCAAATCTAAATTCAGAGTTAGATTTCAGCTGTTTATTTGTATCATACATGCGATATTACATTTTTAATTACAATTAAGTTCAAAATTTACATTTATCTGTAAATTCAAATCCGAGTATCTTACGTAAGACAAGTTTCAAGTAATTACTATTAATACGAGTTTCAGATTTAAATGTAGAATCTGGTCTAAGATTTTCAGTTGAATATCGATTGCAAATGTATCGTGCAAGAGATTCAACTGAAAAAAATAAAAAATCTATTTCTAGATTTAAATCTGAGTATCTTACATGAAAGACAAGTTTGAAATAACGACTTGACATTTATGCTGTCTGGGATGGAAATCATCTTGTTTAGAAAGCGTAACGTTTGTTAAACTTAACATGAAAAAGTCTCATTCTCTCAATAATGTGTGTAACAATAATTATAGTATAATTATAGTAGCAATAATAATAATTATAGTAGTAATAATAATTATATCTTCATATAAGTAGAATATATTGCACAATCCAAACACGTTCATTACAATAGTCAGACTCGATTCAAACCGCAAACACTGCGAGTCCTCCGTTAAAAAATCGTCAAGCGCTTAAGGCTCGCGGCTAACCGCATTCGTCTGAAGCATAAAGTGTGTTCTCGACGATTCGCTCTCACGCGAGAAATCCGGATCATCATGAATATGTAAGAAACCACGCGCGACACAACAACAGATAAATTCTTCTGTTGCCGTGCAACACACAAGGCTGCGCCACGTATAAAAAAAAGGAGGAAAATAACATGTGGAAGTTTGCGCAGTAACGCGATCTTCTATAAAGTATGCACGAGTGAGTCACAGGCGCATCAGCGCGAAGAAGACAATTTTACGCCATAAGATTTCTTTTAATATTTTTCCAACGACATTTCTCAATGTTTTCAGCGTCGACAGACCCTCTCGAAGAAGACCGCTTGGAGCCGCAAATATTGGATATCGTGAAGAAAGCGATAGTCTGCACGGAAGCGAAGAACTTCGACGAGTCCTTTCGATTGTTCGACGAAGCCTTGAAGAAAGCACCCAAGTCACCGGCGATCTTGAACGACAGAGCCCAAGCGTTGCGTTTGGCGAATCGGCATGAAGGTATCTTGATATCGCATCAGATCGCATCGAGTATGTAAATATTCATACACACACGAAAGGTGGTGTAAGAAAAATCAGATTCTACTTTTAGAAGCCTTGAAGGATCTGCATCTGGCGGTGGAATTGAGCGAAGGAAAAGGAAAAGCCGGCGTCCAGGCGCTCTGTCAGCGCGGTGCCCTTTATCGCTGGATGGAGCGGGACGAGAAGGCGAAGGAGGACTTCACCCGAGCGGCCAAGGCCGGCTCGAACTTCGCCAGGTCGCAGTTGGTCGCCGTCAACCCGTACGCGGCCATGTGCAACGCGATGCTGCGCGAGATCACCTGCAAGACCAGCTATCCGTGATGCGACGTCGACATGCATCTCACGTCAACGACTATTTTATAGATAACGCTTTATTTTATTATTCTCTATTTCGAAATACAGGTAAAATCACGAGTGGCGTATCCACATCAATACGAAAAATGTTCATTATGTCGTTAAATTAGAATAAAAATAACGCTAAATATTACTCGGAAAAATTACACGTAAGAATATAAATTATATCTTGTCATATTAAATATCGGAATAAACTTCTTTATAAGGTTGGACTTACTTATTTCTGCTAAAAAGGAACTCGCGCTAGACAGGGCGAACAACGGAGATTTCGTCCAAGTTTGTACCCGTAAAGATTTCACTCTTCCAGCTAAACGATTTCCGCCGAGGGACGTAGATTCACATATAATGAGGGAGAACACGATCCCACGTAATTACAATTTGCTTTTCCGTCGTCTGTAGATATATCGAGTTCGTCGAGAGATTGAAGACTTCGAACAAGTATTCAATTTATTCAACGAAAACTAATGTGCCCATCGAGAACACTTAATTATGCATCTAAAGAGTAACATGATTCCCCTCGTATTAGACATATATAGAATAAAACACGCCTGGTCATACTCATATTTCTACAGACAGTACTTTACAACACGTGTCAGCCGCAAGAAATTGTCTCTTGCGCGAAGAATCATATAAACGATTATTTTCTTGATTTTTTTCCATTCGCTCGTAACTGTACTTAAATGCAGTACTTAAACAGTCGTTAAAAATATTACGAAGGCTCGGAGATTTTGCAAATCAACAAAAAGAAAAAAGATATGTATAAGCTAAAACAACTGTAGAGCATAGAAATATGTAGTATCCAACAAACTGAATTTTCTTGATATTACATATTACAATCTATGTCTTTCCGTCCCGTGTATTAGCTCGGTCATCTCTTTTTTCTTTTCAAACGCAATAAATCTGAAGAATCCACTGTGATAGAGTTTATCCAATTCATCAACTGCTACGGTCCTCATACTTGCTGGACCCTGATAAATATTATTTTTACAATATTCGATTGATTAGTTTCAAAATGAAAGAATAACAAATAAATATCCAGCAGTTGATGAGTTGAATTCGCACGTCGAACAATGATTTAACACGCTAGGACGATGTGATTCGTTAACATGCTTATCGTACGCCGCTTCCGCTCACCGAAATGTCCCCGATAAGTTCAGAATTGCACATTGATGTTCGAACGTAAGCATATATCGGTTTCAGCGATTATTGATGCGACAATTAAGAGCTGTTTTTTTTCAGCAAACGAGAAGCTGTCTATCACCTGGCATTTTCTTGGCTTTAAACCATAACAAAGTCCCGACCCGTGTTTGATTTCTCGCTCTCCGAACCTTCTTCGCTGGCTTCCTCGACTTCGGCGGAGTCGCACGAATCCTTCCTTTCCGTGCTGGGCAATGGGTCCTCCACCTGCAACTCTTCCTTAGGTGACTCGTCGAACTGCGCTTCGTCGGATTTCTCTTCCCTGAATATAAAGCACAGCGTTAAAGATTTTCCACATAAAACATTTGATAACGAATAATGCACGAGACTCACGACTGAATCAACGCGTCCTCTGAATCGGAATCTTTGTCTTTCTTTCTTCTCTTTTTACTAACTTTCTTATCGTTGCTGGATGTGGAGCCGTAGTATTCGTACTGTAAGTACAGTTTTGCGTTAGACGAGTTTATACATTCACCGTGACGACAGATGGAAGAGCAAAGAGAAAGAGAGAGTTGTACCGACCTGATATAACGGCCAGAAAGATGCGAAGAAGCCAACATCAGCCGTTAAGTTCGGTAACAACCACAGGTGGCATCTACCTAACGTAGGCACCCACAGCAGGCAGAATACGATCATTCTGATAATTGCCAACGCTAATATAAATAGGAGGAATACTGCGGCGGCGACACTTAGGTAATATACTCCGTGACGAATGGTCAACGGCCACAGCGGGAAGAGGCAGACTGCTATCGCTCCTAAAACTACAAGCGTGCCGAAGAACCAATAATAGACAGGGATTGGCTCGTATATCCACACGTATGCATCGTTACAATCTACAAAGTACTGTTCCATGTGCATCTCCAATCTCACCTGCAATCAGAAGTATTTAGTTTTGCCTTTTTCTTTCTTAGGTACGGCTCCCGGTTCCACTGCTGCGGAACTCTGGATCAGAAACGAGAAAACGCATGTCAGATATTCTTGCGTGCCTTATACTTCAAGGCTATAAATAGCCTTTAAAGTAGAGTGATATGCAACTTTCCTTTTTAACTTATCTTTCCTCATGATTTTGTTACGTTAATTTTGAGGCCATTTTGTCGAGAAAAAAAGATATTTTCAAGAGCATTTTACAGTATGCTCAAACGATCTCAAGTGTTCTTTTGTACAAGTATCTTTTTATCTCAAAGTACTGTGCAAGAACTTTCGACATGTTGTTTGCTCGCTTTTAACATTATCAATCAGTCATCAGCATCAAAAAGTTTCACAGCAATGGAATCAGGAGCCTCAATGATTGAGGGTCTAATCTCGTTTAAAGGCCATCCTACAATTGCGTAAACGTGGTCTTAAGTGGTTATAAGTAATTATGACATCCAATCAGAATAAAGCAATCAGTGAATAAAACACTCTGATTGGTCGACTCCCATGATCACGCTTATGCAATTGTAGAATGATCTTAATAAACGTGGGAAAATTAGAATATCTTGATATCAGAGAGATCAATTCAAGATATCAAATTACTTCCATTTACACTTACTTTTGGCTTTTTCTTCGATTTCTTTTGTTCATCAACTTTCTCATCATCTTTCTCGTCCTTCACCACAGCTGTGTCTTTGTTCTCCTTGACATCCTCCTTCTCTTTCTTTTCCTCCTTATCCTCTTTCTTTTCATCCTTGGCATCTTTGATCTTTTTCTTGATACCCCGCATTTTATTGAGCTCCTCCTCCGATATCACCACTTTCTTTGCCCTGTGAAAGAACTTGTGCCTCAACATCTGATCCAAGAACTGGGAGACCTGTTCGCGACTCTCGAACACAGAGCTCCAGGGTGAATTTTCCAGTAAGGCATCGATGGCCCGCGACCCAGTGAAGTACTCGACATTATGAGTTCTGTCGAATTTGGTCTTCTTCGACGGTACATTGTTGCGTATCCATTTGGCCACCGCGTATTCTTCCTTGGACGGTTTGTCCTGAGCGACCTTAGAGTCTAAACTGGCTATTTCCTGTCACAACAAACAACAATGAATCGCATCGGATGGGAACCGGGAGGGATCGATCAGACGATGAATGGTTACATTGCACGTCGTACGTCGCCCGCGAATCGGACTGACACGAAGAGGAGCGTCGGCTAGCTCGCGATTTTCCAGCGCGAGCGGACCGAGAGCGGAGAGCCTGTTTGTCTACGTCATCTGGAGCAGCGCGCTGACACGTATCGCGAGATCGCGGAGTCGCGTCGCGATCGTGCGTGACAAGGTGCATCGCTCCTCGTGCCGGCCGATCGGGGTCGCGCGCGTGCGGCGAGAACGTGCGAATACACGCGAACCCGTGCCATATGCGATGCTTACATTTTTGCGCTTCCTGCTTTTCTTGCGATCCGCCATGTTGTAAATTCCGAGTTACGCTTGCGCGCAGTCGGTACCCGTCGCTGCTGCTGCCGGCCGAATCTGGCTACGAACTGGCTCTCGCGAGCATACGCGAAGCGTGTGTCTCTGAAGCACCGTTGCGTCAGGCCAGAACCGTTCGCCTGACGCCGCCGGCTTTCGCTCCCCCTCCGCCCTCTCGCCGCACACTTGTCAGGCTCGTTTAGGACGCGATGTGTGTGTGCTACTTGCGGTTTTACTTAGCGCTCCGCCAACTCGTCGGACGGAACAAACCGATTAGCGCGCAACCCGAATCTTACGCATCCAGCAAGCTCATCCCGAATATATCACCGGGTTTCGCAGATACCTGAGCGACTTGTGGAGATGTGTCGTGAGATCAGGAGTTATTATTGACAACGCAGAACTGCGTTCTTTTGTACTTTTTATAACTGGTTAATTGTGATTTTTTGTTGGTCAATGATATTGCAAGATTTATATTTGATAAAGGTGATGTGTCACAGAATGAAAATGTGAGTTTAAGTGATAATAACTGAAGCCTACAGGTATCTGCGATATCTGAAGCTCATAGCTATACGCAAAGAGAGATCACATTTTTATAGAAATTTTCAACATTTATTGCTGAATCTCTTCTACTTTGTGTGGTTCTCTCTTAAGATATTTTATACTCTGATAAATAGTATATCATTCAAAAGTGACAACTGTGTAATTTGTCTTCTACTTCTTCTAGTCTCATCTTATTTTCTAGTATATCTTCTTCTCTTGCGCTATATCTCCATTATTTCTCAAATTGCTTCTTTGAGACTTTCTTTCTACCTATTTTGCTATACTCCATTGTTCATAAAGTCAGATTGAGCATTTGAATCTTTCGATATATTCTTCAATTCTCCTAATTTCTCTGTATTACTCTTATTTTTAACATTTTTAAATGCATTATTGTTATTAGCTTCATCCTTACTTATCATTTGGTTTCTATGCAATTGCTTGTCACATTCCTTCTGCAATCCGCCATCTGTCACACAGCAAACATTACAAACTAGAACTTTCCTTCTGGAGAACTAATATAATTATTCATTTATCTACCTTTCTTAGTGGAGTATCTTGATTTTCTTCTGAGTATAGCTACTGAGTCTAAGGTATTCTTTTTCTTTACTAAGGTTTCATTTTTCTCATTCATTAAGAAATATATGCGATTTGTGACAAATATTGTGGGTACAGCACAAGCTTTCAGCTTCTTCTTGCCGTCTATTCGTACCTTCTCCCACATATCTGGTGCAAAGTGTATCTGAAAATTCAACAATTCTAAACATTGGAGACAAGGAACCAATACACAGACAAATTCAGCACAAAAGCACGCGCATGTACTTCGCATAAAGCCGAGTGGGGTGTCGGAGACCAACCCTTCCGGTTCATATTCTTCACCCAGGCTTCTTGTCTCTCCTTATTTCGCGGAAAATTGCACATTTTGAATCCTTTGGTGGAGGAATTCGTGCACCACGCGGCCACGCAACCAGGCATGTCCGAGAAATCTAAAACAATTGACAGACGATAGATAGGTTTTTCTTTTTTTGAAATTTGGTACCTAAGCATCGTGCTTTCGACCTTCCCCAAGGATATTTGTGATCATTTAACACAGATAGGCTGGAAACATTGAGGTTATATTTTCATATATATATATATATATATATATATATATATAATATATATATATATATATATATTTCATATATATATATATATTTTTTTTTTTTTTTTTTT